GTGAATGTTAATATCAATTGATCAATCTCATATTCTGAGAAGCTGTACTAAATTAAGTCCATCTTACCTCAACCTTTATATTTGTACCCATGAACTCTTTTGAATTTAATGCATCTAAAGCCTCTTTTGCTTCATCTTCTTTATCCATATGCTGAAAGAACAGAAAACATGAAATGGTTATAAAAATCCACAGGAATTCATTAAAAAGCTTTCATAGATAGATGTTTTTTGTATGTGGATGTTGGATTATTTTTTGTATACATTGTCAATTAACATATTTGCCCATAAAATAATAAGATGGTACCTTTGCAATAATTATTTCTATAATACACAGCTTGCTCACACACTATGCCTTAGGACTACCTAAAAGTTGTCACTATAAGGCAGTTTTTTTATAAAAGATTGTCACTAAAATAGGTTTGACAGTACTTTGACAGTGTTTTTTTATTTACTTCTTTGTCAATACAAAATTTGAAAACAAGCATTTGGTGGTTAAAACCAAGTGATAAATACTAGACAAAAAGACAAAAGATTTTTTATCATGGGGTATGTTGAGGTGTTAATCGGATCTGATAAAGTATTGTGTGTTTTTGTGTGTGATTGGACCTCACAATTGGTTATGACACAGGTCTGTATATTCTAGATCTGTGCATCACAGAAATGAACAATAGAGTATTGCATGTGAAATGGTACAGCGAGTCATCAACAAAAACATGTCTTAACCAAATAATTTATAAACCAGTAACTGTAAACACCAATAACATTTCTCTGTCTTTTCCTGACAATTTAAAAATGAGATTGGTAACAAAAATTGACAATGGCCCCGCAAGTCAGATTAAACTACACAAATATGTCAGAACATAACATACCACAAATCCATAGTTCTTGATTACATCACATTCAAGCACTTTTCCATATTTTTCAAACAAGTCTCTCAAGTCTCTGCTTTGGACACTTTTAGAAAGATTTCCAACAAATACTTTTGTGGCGTTAGCTGTAAGAAAAGATCATATATATATATATAGTACACCTACTGAAGAGAGATTATGACTGGATTAGAAATTTAAAACAAAAGAATGTCTTCAAATTGTATAGCATAGATCAGATCTTGCATATAGTGGGATAGAAATACAAATTACATAGAATTTAATCAAATCAAACAAGGGCGTATGACCTGCCTTCGTGTTGCAGGTCTTGAGTATGTTGAGGGCATCCAATATCCAATTTCAAAAAATGACAGACACACAGACGAAGTAGTGAAGAAAATATTGAAGGACACCTAAGACACGCATGGACATTAAGGCAATCGCCTTCACGAATTACCGTAAGAACGCTGATGTTGTACATTAAAACAGGTTCACAACAAAATTTTCAGTACATAAAAGTGGGGCCAGGGGTAAAAAAAACCCAGCGTAACTGATCGGGAACAATAGAAGTCACGATGCCAAATATAATCAGAACAAACGTCAGTCTTTCCACCCAGGATAGCAACACTGTGATCTTGTGACAATCCAATACGCAATGATCATGGAATAAAGACTGTGGCGCCAAGACTGTAAAGCAAAGAAATTGCAAAATATACTTACACAAATCTCGACGCATTTTACCACATGCAGCTTGTACAGCACTACAAAATGGAGATTTCTGACGCGGGAACAGAACTAAGTGTTAATGGACAATATGTTTAGTTTAATAGCAACTGATTCGTATAATTTAGAAATATAATCAAAATAATCGAATTAAATTAAAACTCATAGTTTCTACCTGGAAATAAATCATTAACAATGAGTAATTTACAACACAATTATCAATTACAAATATTTAATTTCGATAATATCTAGTATTAATTTATTGAATCGGCAGCTAATAATAATGCCAACTAATTTTCTAGTTATAGCTCAGCGTTTCTTTGTGCGTTTGAAAGACCATTTTTCATTGGGTTCCCTAAATCCTTTCTACCAATAAGGAGGCTGGTTCCAAACAATAATTAATGGTCCAAAATGGCAGGGCGGCATGGGCGATTTCGTGGGAGTAAGAGAGGAAGAGGTCAAGCAAGAAAGAAAGGAAAGAAGAAAAATCCACCACAACAGAGCAGCAGAACATCCCTTAAAACTAGTTCTAGTGGGTAGGTCACCACTGATAAAACAGCAATTTCAGAATTTACAAAGAGATGATTTATACAAAACGTATGGGTACTATGTTGTTGTGTTTGATTATTAATCAGGGTTCCCCCAATAGAAAAGTGGGGCTGAGATCACAGTCACTTGGGGGCTGAAAATCAATAAATACTAATTTTCAAAAAAAAAATCATCCGCTATATGTATATAAATAAACAAGT